TGTGATTAATAATCGTACCTACTTCTTATGCTTGCTTAAAGCCTGGTTTATATGTGTATGTATCTTATGTCATATGGCAACCCTCTGCAAGGTTGTGCTCAAGTATAAGAGCCAGTTTTCTGATTCCAAAGCCCTATTCTCCATACTGCCTCAGTTGAGATGATGACCATAGCTAGGAAGTCCTAATGAGCTGAGTAGCCAATAATAATAATATTAACCATTATGTTACAAATATAAATATCCACAGAGTTGCCATATGCTAATTTTTAATTATTAATAAAAATCAGAAAGCTTACTGTCCCAGTCCTTATATGTATATTTAAAACTGAAAATAAAATTCAGGGAGATAGAAATTTCTCATAATTTTCCTAGTAAATCTATTTATTAAGTCATTAGTTCAAACATATCACAGAAGATCTGAACTTTGATATCTATCACCCTTTCAGAGTGGACTCTGGACAAATGAATAAACGCATAAAAATTGAACTTAATTTTCTCCCTCATCATTCAGTGCCTTCCTTTTGCTTTCACAGTGACATCCAAATATCTCCGCATGGTATTCAAGACTCTCCAGATCTGGCCAAGACTCAACTTTCCAGCCTCAGCTCCTGTTAACTTTCAGTCATGAGTTCTACCCTAGAGCCCTGATTGTTCCTTAGCTTTATGATGTACTTTCTGCTCCAATATCTTTGTCTTAGAGACCCTTCATCCTGGAAAGCATTTTCCCTATCTGAACCATGGGATGTCTTCATCTTCAGCTCAAACATAGTTCTTTTATAACACAACCTTTATCTCCTCAGCTAACTGGCCCTTTGGCTGATTTTTCTATTAGACCACTTAGCATAGCTTTCTTTGCAAGTGTTATTACACTTGTCTCCCTGACTAAAATTTAGTGTCTTGTTGTCTGGTGCTTGACTTTGTCTTATTCTTTTCCATATCTGACTTAGTACCAAAAACAGTGCCTTTCCCAAAGAAATTCTTTTTTTTTTTTTTTCCCTTTTTTTTTTTGTGTGTGTCCAGCAACGGATCGCAACCCTCAGTGTCACGCCCGTACTGGACCGGGACCGGCAACAGGATCGCAACCCTCGGTGCTGTGCCCGCACCTCGCTCAGCCAGTGAGCGGCCGGTCTGTATGTGGGATCCGAACCCTTGGCGGGAGCGCCACCACGCTCCCAAGCAGCGCACTGTAGCAGTGCGCCACCGGGCCAGCCCCCCAAAGAAATTCTTAATAAATTCTCTGTTGAACCACATTTAGTCCAATAACAAACAGGAATAGTGCTCTCAAACTTGCAGTGCCATTAGTTGAAATTTTGTGAATCCTTCAAATAAGGCTAAGTTGCTCCAGGGGTGCTCTTACGATTTTAGCATTTAAAACAACTTTTTCCTGTTGCTAAAAACTAGTACACATTCATTTTAGAAAACTTGTGAAGTGAAGACACAGACAAAGGGGGAAAAAAGGGCAGCTACTGCTTCTTTTTCTTTAAATACAGAAATACTATCTGTTTGTTTTCCTCAGAAATTCTAAACAGAGACATCATGGAAATGTAGACAAGTGCATATGGGCAAACCCAACTGGATTTGAAACCCCAGGCCCAGCACATCATGATTGTATGACCCTGGGTTTGTGACTTCATCCCTCTGAGGCCCAATTTCTCACATGAAAATTAGAAATATTAATACTATTTTTTATTCCTATTAGGGTTTTGGGAAGATCAAATTATAAAACATTTGATTGTATTTTATACATTAGAAAAATACTATCTGCCTGTTTTTTATTGGCATGTTGAACTTTTCAGAATGTGAGTCTATGGATAGATTGAGCAATCAGATTAAATCCTAAGCAACAGTTCAAACTGGATTTGTGCCTAGCTCTATTACCTAAATTACAAATAACTATCACTTTGCTAAAGGGAGAGAAATGAACTTTTATTGAGCACTTACTACCAGACTTTGTAGTATTTGCCTTACACTCATCTTCCCACAGCACCAAATAATGCCCTTTTATATATGAGAAAAATTAAAATTCAGTAAGCGAAGTCACTGGTGCTACAAGATTAAGGTGGGTCTGATTTCAAATGCTATGTTTTTTCTATTTTCACTCTAGTAAGAGACACTTTTGGGGGAAAGTATTTTTATGGAATTCCTCTCATTTTTATAGAAATTCTTATTCTTATGGAAATTTCCAGAGTGATTGAAGGGCAGTATTTGACTAGATACATGGATTATTTTGAAACCAGTTCTCTTAGGAAAGTTTAAAGAAGTGTAAGAGCTTCATTTTAGAGGAAGGAGTAGACAAATTTAAAAGCCATATGCAAACTCATGAAGGGGAACAAATGATGTATATTGACTGGGTACCTTTTGCTTGTAATTTACCTAAACTTATCTTAAAATGTAATTTAAAACTTTTCATAGCATTGCTTCTTTAGATCTAAAAAGCACAGCTGAGGGAAACTGTGGAATTCCTTCTTGATAGAATGTTTGTTTTGAACAAGGAGACTTGTCCTTTTAGGACTTGTTTAACAGTCCTCTTTGGAGGTGGAAAACTATACTCAATCAAGGATGAGTCTGCACGTAAACACGAAGGGAAAATCTATAAATCTACAAGTTCTGCTGAAACTGTGATTAAAATAAAGATATTATAGCACAGAGGGTCTAAAATGATATTACAGTACAGAGACACATGAGGGTGCTCTAACCAGCTGCTATAATAAACGAATTAAACTGTTCAAATATTGGGGGAAAATTAAGGCCTGTTGTGGACGGCAGTGCTGAATTCTGACTTTCAGCCTTGGCCAAACAGAACAATCCTGGACCAGATGGCTTTTCTTTTAAGCGAAATGTATTGGTCTCCCCCCCAACCTCTATCTCCACCCCAGTTTAAAAAGTAGAAGTTGTTCATATTGGACAGTTTGGAAAATACTGAAAAGCACAAGGAAGAAGAAAAAAATGGACTGATGTTGCTGTCAGCCCTGGGAAGCTGGGGTTTTCTAGAGCCAGGCCAGTTGAAGGCTTAGCTCAGGAGGCTGTCTTCAAACACAAGCCCAGCCTGTTCTCATTTTGATTCTACAGACCTTCTTCTGGTACAAAGGGGGAGCAAAGACTGGAGGTCTAATGACCGCAAGAAGAGAATTAGAGACGCATGTTTATCTCAATACATTTACTCTCATTAAAGTTCATATTCACTGACATCATGCATCTCCTTGAAAAAGACTGCCCACCCACCATTAATTAAAGCCACATTTTAAAAAGTCAGTGTGTGCACTTTTATTCCAATCAAAAGTAGCTTCTAAGATTTGCAGAGTAGGCAGGAGAATATCTGAGGCCTGACAGCTGTTCACCTCTACACAGTGAAGAATCACGTGATTTACAATAAAAGTCATGTTTATTCTGGGCCTCAAATATAACAGCCAAGATCTATTGTCTTCAAGAGTTGAAACTCTTAATGACCTATTAGGCAAAATTAACATTTATTTTGATAGGTCAACATTCTTTTGGATACAATGTATGACCATATGCCTTTATCTTTCCAAATAGAGAAATCTAACTCTATACTGTGTTTGAATAATTAAGTGGCACACTCTTATCAAAGATACCACACTTTATAACTTATACATGCAGAATTAATGTCAAAACAAAGGTCAATGTTTTTTTTAATCCAAATCATTGCAGAAACAGTAATTACCAATACTTATAGGATTGCACAACTACAGTCTATATTCTTGGCAGTAGTAACTATAAGTTCATAAATTCATGAAAATAAGGAATGTTGATTTTTAAAGTTCAAGAACGGTACTATTTGTAAACAGTTCAGGTCACACTCATCTTATTCCATGTGGTAAGCAAGAGTTCTTTCCTTCCAACTTCCTTTAAATGAGATCAGTTCTCTCCAGACGCCTAGTAAAAGGGTTTTCATCCAAACATATCTGCCTTCTTTTCTATTCTTTTTCCTATTAGAGCCCCCCTGGGGACCTTTCAATTGTTTGCTGATCTTTCCTTATATATTAATATCAAGCAGATTTTTACGTTGTGTTGATAAAAGACAACACAATGATAATTATGGTTATCTCTTCCCATTGGCAATTAGATTATGCTAGAATGGTTCTGACCCAATATTTAATTAGCCCAGATAGTTTATGTTTTCTACACAGAGGCATAAAGCACAGCATTCAGATTCTCTAGTTATTTTGGTCATGCCACCATGCAGAAAGACATGGATCATTGATGGATCTGAACACTGGCACTGAAATGGTTTAATCCTAGGTCAAAGCACCCCTAGACAAGCAGTTGAAACCCGAGTTCTAGTCTTGACTTTTCTACTGGACTCATAATGTGACCTTGAGTTCCCTGAATGCCTCAGTTCCTCATCTAACAAATAGTGGGTAGAGGGTAAATACCGACAAGATACCCACAGCCCAGGAAGATTAACCAGGACTAGAGAATAGGGGCCAGAGTACCCCTTTGGGGCCACATCTTCCCCTGGTCAACTTACTCATCCAGTACCAGAAACCACAAAATGAGGCTTTTACAAGTGACAGCTGGGTCTGGTTCTAAAAGACAGCACTCCCAATCTAGATGAAACTCACAAACCATGTGCAGTGAATTGCTTTCATGAAAAGCCTGGGAGAAGATGCTCTGAGTCTTGATATCCCATAGATACAAGTATTCCACGTATCATTGCTATGTGAGATGTAGCAGTATCTTAACCCACAGATTTGATCTTCTATACAGAATAATACAGTATCCAGAGGGACCATAAAACACTTGACTCAACACAATGCCAAAAGCAATGGGTGGACCCCTTCGGCTCAGCTGTGGGGAGGAAGGTGGAGTGTGGGTGGGGATATTTCAACCCAGTAGGTGGTATTCTTTAGAACAAACAGCTATGGGCTGGAGGACAGTGGGAAGCTGTGACTATACAGCATTTGATCAACTCTAGGAATGTTTAAGATTAAGCTCTGCTGAAGTGATTTATAAGGCCATGCACCGTTGCATTTCCATACCTTCCTGCCAGCTCTGTTGTTGTGAAGATTCATCAGGGCTCTGGCGTCCTTTCCTTTCCTCTCCTTGGCATCCACAAATGCTCGGGCAAATTTGATCCCATAGTCAATGTTATCACTGCAGCCACCCCAATCGAAAGTGCCCTTGCTGTCCTTGGCGGTTCCCTTCTTCTTTGGATCACAGGAACAGGATTTTAATTCTCCTTGGCTACAGGCCCTGGTGATGGCAAATACAACTCCAGCTGAGGAGATGGCATAAACAAAGGCAGATTCCCGACTACCTGAAACAAAAATGCTTTTCTTAAAAATGGTCTGGTAGCATTAGTTCTGAATAACTTTCACATGGTGACTATGTAATACTTGGTCTGTCCCTGAAGTCTTTGCCACTCTAGACAGAAAGGTGCTTGAGGGATTCTTTTCTAGAGCCAAGGCTTGCTCTTTAATATGAATCGTCTCCACCTAATATAGGTTTTTGTCAATTTAGATATCTGTGTGATGACAAATCTTTTCAAAGTAAATAAAGAATATAAATGAAAAAGATGGACTTGCCCAGCTCCTGGCTTCACATCCGTCTCATACACATGCTTGCCCTGCTTTAACCTCACACTCTCGATGTCCTGGAAGAGAGGAGCAAAGCATCTCTAGGCTTTGGTTTCTTCATCTGTAAAATACAGTCTGAATTCTAAAATTCTTTCATTCCAATAGATATTTGGGTATTCATGATACCACAGCTTTCTTTGAAAAAACCTTCCAAACTGTTAGGCATTACTGAGGACTCTCACACACATTTAAATGATCAGCACTGAAATACTGAATTCAAAGAAATCTAGGGGCTGAGGTGGGAAGAGAATTCAGCAGTAACCAGCCCCTTACACTAACACTGGAGAGTTCTGGCTTGGCATCAACTTTCACAAGTAATTGAGAGATTGTTGACGGCAATATGCAATATCCTTGAGTTACATACTACGTCTAACTATTAAGGTACATTTACTTTCTTCTGGAACACCTGCACTAATCACTGGTATTGGGTAAAAGACAGTGAAAAGCTTTTCTTTGGTTTTTCTGGAAGGAAACAAATTTACCACTTATAATTAGACTTGGGCAAGAACCCTTTGGGGTGTTTTCTTAGAATTGTTCTTTATTAGAGTGCAGGCTACTTTCACTTACAGGCTGAAAGGTACATATTTCAGTGCAATAACTACATTAAATTATTTTAATAATCTGTAGTAACTCATAACACGGTGTTGTGGTATAGTGACAGATATAAGGCTCTTTAGGGTCCGTGTGCACCTCGTTTTTCAAGTGGAGCTGTATTTCATTGTTATTAGCATGGCTTTTTATTAATGGTTGCTGCAGCAAATATATTAACAATCAAAATAGAAGTTGGACAACCTAATGCCAATGCAAGGCAGAAAACAGAGAACCATTTGGCGATTCAATATGTCAAGACGAGTGTGACTTTTTGAACCACACAGCTGGGAGAACAAACTACCTTTTTGCATTGAAGCCCTGCTTGTTTCCGTTTGTCATTCGGTGTTAAAATTTATTATACATCCCTCGCAATATTTGCTCTGCTAGTCTCATTATTAAAAATCAGGAAAACATATCTACACCATATTAAATGGCACTTACCTCAGCCTTCAGAAAATATCTCCCCCAAAACCTCTATCCATCAGAAAAGGAATCAATCATGCCCTGTAGTTAGGTAAAATCAATTATAGGAATATTTGCCACAGGTAGCAAGTAGCCCTCTCCAGAGAGAAATGTGATGGTCCTGGGAGCTATTTTAAAGAGTCACAGCTTAAATTATAAGAATCACAGATATTCTATATTGAATTGAGATGTTTCGTCAAAGGTGACTAATAACATGATAATGTGGCTTAATCTCTGGCAGCAGCTTTCAGATAAATGCAATTTTTATCATAACCATTTTACAGTTTAGGAAAATACTTTGTCCATAGTTACCCCATTTATCTTCTAAAGCCTGGTTTTGAATTTGGAGTTAATGTCCATGTTTAGAGTTATCACATAGGGGAAAAATTCCCAAATGCTTAAGATATTTAGCATTGCTCTTACTTTTTAAGGAGAAAGAAGAGAAATTTTATGAATGGTCTTTTAGGAGAAAGGCTTGGAAGATGTGGATGATAAATGTCAGTGAGCAGGTAGTATTTTGAAAGAAGTAGAGGAATAAATTGTCTAGGTGTGGAATTCATCCTGGTATAACTTGCAAACAATTACATTAACTTATTGGCTGAAAGAAAAAAAGTCACTCACAATCTGCTACTTTCAGGCATAGTTTCCAAAACAAAAATATCACCTTTCTAAATATTTGTTATTTATTATTCAAACACCTTACTAAATGCTAGATGTTTACTTATTTAAATAAAAAATTTTGCACATTTGCTGACTTTTCCTTTTACCTCCAGATGTTTTCGTATCATGTAGATATGGCCTTAAGGTGTTTTCAGTTAAGTGCTTTAGATGAATCACTAAAATGCTATGTGTGAAACAGTAGCACATTTCAAGAGTTGGCTTTGTGACAAAACTAATTTTGATCTTGGGCCTCTTCTTAGAAAAACTGATTCTTTTTAAAGCCATCACAAAATTAAATGAAATCCAAATATAAATGGTGATATTTATACTTCTGATGTATTACTATTGAAGCTTCTCTAATTTTTTTTAAAGTACATATGCACAGTTTTTATTTGGGAGGGGGGATTGCTACCTGGGAAGGTAAACAGTAGAAGTTAGGGTTTCTTGACGGTTATGAGTTGTTCAACTTTCTTTTAATATATCCACTTTTTTTTTTTTTTTGACATTTACAATGATGAGACACAATCGTTTTTTTTTTTAAGGCTTATTCTAGAATTCTGGAGATGTATTCTTGCAAGAATATTTTTGGGTTTACTAGTTCTGACTTTGTTTCTCTGCATGTGACTGGTGACTGTCTCTTGAATGAGTAAATTACCAATGTTCCTAAAAATTGTTCTGTCTTACTCTAACTCTCTAAAGCAAAACAGGCAAATATTTCCCATTTCTCTATGACCATGAAATATTTCAATAACTTCAATGTGCTCGTGGTAAATGGTATTGCCCTTCGCCTTTCCTATTCATATATAAGCATATTTAGGTTTCCAAAGGAGAGTTCTTCACAACTCTAAGGTACAGATATTCCTCCAAGCAATTCATTGTAAAAATCTTTGAATAGCTTCATTGGAATTTAGTGATTATTTCTGGGATAAGCTACTTTAGGCCAAATATAGCTCCAGCATAACCAACACAAAATCATCACTGACGGTCATAGGAGTCTGCATTAATGTCTGGGAAGGAACCTGGTTTTCTGTGAAGAATGGAAAGAAATTGTATAGCATAAATGTTTTAAGTTCTGAGTATTGTGGCAAAGCATTCAACTTCATCTGAAAGAAATCTAAAGGAAGTACAACTTAGAATCTCTTATTTATCTGAGACCTTGGACTAAGTCAAACTAGTTCTGTTTCCTCTATTTCTAACCTCTTCCCTCTCAGCAACTCTATAGCTCTGAAGAAACACACATTGTCAAGATTAAGTTAAAATATTTTATGAATAAATCCCCAGCTTTGGCAGATCTACTGTCTTTAGGATCACTGGTCAAAACTGCTTCCTTTGATTTGCAATCTGAAGGTTTTTCTTCTAATATGAAGACATTTCAATGGATCTAGAGGTGATCATTTTAGAAATAAGGAGTGCATATAATTTGAATCATTGGAAAATGGTTATGAGCTCTTTGAAAAAGAAAACTCCTGATACATTTTAAACACTGACAGCCTGTATATAACATATCCAAAGATTACTTGTGCTAAATATTTGCAAACTCTCTTTGACAAGGTCCAGGACTTTGATTGATTCACTGGTGAGATAATCTAGGTGAAGTCTCAGAATTCCATGAAGCTGCAATTTACTATTAACCTTTCAAAAATTTGCGATGTCATATTGAAACTCCAAAAGGAATGCAGAAGAATTTAGTTCTTAAACTAGAGAATAACATTGCACAGTATCACAGTAAATTAACTTTAGGGATACTCTAAGAATGAGAGTACTACGCCCTTGGGGGATTTTAGAGACATTCAGTTATGCATTTGGCCTCATAAAACCCTAGGGCTGTGATGATTACATGATAGAAACACCCTCTGTTAAGCATTACCAAGTGTACAGTCTGGATGATTTTCTTAGGAATGGGGGGGCCAAAAACAAGTGTAAAGTTTCCTGTTTCTGAGGTTCGCACATAAGTTGCTGTGTTTTTTGTCATAGTTCCTAATAGCAAATGGAGAATGCTAATAATGCTAGGTTAGTGGAAGGGTATTATATGAAAATAAAATCTGATTTTTAATTACTTTTCTCCGATTGTATATCAGCTAGTGAGCTACTTTCCATATTCAGAACTTTTAAGAAGTTTATAATTTGACTAGACAATGTTTAAGGCTCCTTCTAAGGAAAAAAAGATCTTTGTATTCATGGTTCCCATGCCTATCTTCCATAAATATTCTTACTTCCTAAAATGTAGCTGGAAAATATTAGGTGCTCACACAAGTTCATCCATTCATTCATTACAATACACAAGGCACCAAATGAGGTGCAGGGAATACAGGCTAGTTCCTGCCCTTAAGGAATGGACAATCTATTGGGGAAAAAAAATGTTTAATTTTGACACAGAGTGACCCAAGGCTGAGCAGCTAGATGGGAGGTCAAAGATGCTGAACAGAGATTTGTCTGCTTCTTAATAACTCTTACATGTTGATTTTGTAATAATGACAATCTTGGGCTCAAGATAAAATCTGAACCTGGAGGACATACAGGGTTGAAGTGACAGAGCGAAGAGTGAGAAGACAACAATCCAGGGCTACATCCTATTCTACGACTGGCCTCCTATAAGACTTTAGACAAGTTCTTTGATTTCTCTCATCCTCATTTGTAAAACAGGGACAATGCCACCCAACAGAAAGATCTTTTGTTTGAATAAAGTGCAATAAAAGATGAGCAAGAGCTTTGAAGACCATGCGAGGGGAGTGGTGTATGAGTGGAGGGCCTATGGGGATGGGTGAAGGCAGGAGACTTACTTCTGAGTAGGACCCTGCCAAAGAGGCTGTGATCCCTGTCTAGGGTATTGCAGTTCCAGCGATGCTGGCGGAACTGGTGCTGGCACTCTGTGGTCCACTCGGCCACGCCCAGGCCAATGGCTCGCATCACGTCTGGGTGTCGGTGGCACAGCTGGCGCTGGCGGCTCACCAAGCCTGGCACATTGTCACACATCACCCTGGAGGAGCCACCTGTAGCTCTCATGTACCTGTAAGGGACCAACACAGAGGTGAGAACAACATGAACAGCAAGGCTTGGCTCAGTGTTCCCTGGGAAACTGAAGAGTTCAAAGAGCTTTTCAAATATGAATTACTTATCCTTTTGGTGATATTAGAAAGCAAGGGTTATTTAATTTTAATTCAGTGGAGAAGCAGACAAGGTAGGCATGGTGAGTGATCTGATAGAAGCCACCCCAAAATGGACTGATGACTGTCTTGTGGACGTGAAGCCTGGCCACTATATGACACAATGGGTCTGGTCTTGGCTTTGGGGGAAGCTGACCTTTAGAAGTTTTTCACTCCATTTATTTGACCTAACGTCTTAAAAACTATCTGTATCTGTCTAATCAACACCTGGTGGTATCTGATATTACACTCTCCTCACAGACATGCTGTTCTTTCCTTACTGAGGAATCCTTTAAATAGTTCCATTTTCTAGTTCATTTTGGCTTTTATAGAAAACCTTTGGAAAAAATTCTTTCTATTGTTATTAAGGACACTAAATGTTTGGAAGAATCAAACAGTATTATAGCTCCATAAAGTACTTTTTGAAAAGAAACTTTAACAAAAAATTACATCATCATCTCTACCCAGATGTTCTCTATTAGTTGTGAAATGTTTAGAAAGGTACCTTTTATATAACCCAAGCTGCCATAGGTGTCTTTTGAAGCGATCAAATAAGGAGAATGTCTTTTTCTTGTATTTTCATTATTTTATATGATCATAAAATCGTTACAGCTGTGACTTCCAAAAAATATATTTTTAAGTGACAGCTGAGAGACAATGTGACAAAAAGCCTGAGCAATAAATAATGTTTATACCCCCATGAAAACAGAAATAGTCATTTTATTGAAAAATGATCAGTCTGATAAATCAATCTTTGATCCTGTGTCAGCAATGTCAAGGCTAAACACCTTCCCGTTCAAAGCAGGCTTAGGAAATAATTGAACCTCTTCCCATCAGCACTTTGCCTTGCTCTTTTGAAGAGCTCCAGTGTCTTCCTAAAAAGTTACTTGCTCTAGTGTTTTATGTGGTTGAGACTTGTTACTTTCACCAGATTCTTTAAAATATAGCCCCAAATAACTGTTTTTTCTGAATCAGTATTTTAATATCTGTTCTGGAACTTTAAGGTACAAGGAAGTTACAGGGCTCTCAACTCCATCGTTTTCCAAGATCAAAAAGTCAGGAGATGAGGAAGAGTTTCTGGATGGGCAGAGAATCTGCCTTTGCAACTATTAATGATGCGAAGAACTGTTACGGTTCAATCCATCACTGTACAAAAATAAATAAATCAATCGCAGATCAGCGTACAAAGGAAAGCAGCAGTTACCCTTTGGGGTGACAGTTTTGAACAGGGTAACATCTTAGAGACCCCGGGATCTGTAGCTTTGCATTAAGGTGATAGTCTCCACCTGGAGCAGGCAAAATATTCTTCCGCCCCACTGAGGTGAAGCATTAGGAATGTGGAAGGACGGGAAATAATACAAAATCACACGCTTTGGACTCTACAACTCCTGATTGCCTGAATATGTCCCTCGGTTCATCTTGAGGCAGTTTTGGGGGAAGGAGGGTGGGAAAGGCAGTTGTAGTTTTCAGGGTGAACACACACACACACACACACACACACACACACACACACACACGTACACGCGTCTGTGCTACAGCTACAGACTCGGCTAGTGTGTCTCCCAACGGGATAAGAAATTGGCTGATTTTGCTGTCGCTCAGCTGGATCCAAATAAACCAAACATCAGAGCTCTCATCTGAGGGGGAATGAGGGTTCTCTCTCTCTCTCTCCCTCTCTCGCTCGCGTTGTCAAAGCTGAAATGGTCTTCTAGGGAAAAGCGAAGGGGCTCAGGATGGGGCGATAGCAGAGGGCAGCGGTCGGGGAATATGCGGCTGCTGCGGCCGCGGAGAAGCGCCACAAGGAAGGGTCTATGCGGCCAGTGCGGTTCCCACTCCCATCTCCAAACTCACCCCGCGCCCGTGAGCGTGGACTTACCACCATGAAGAGCTGACCTCGGGGGTGAGCCAGGTCAAGACCAGAAGGAGCCAGAACCAGATTCCACCGAGAGGGGCGTTCATATTAACCCCCTTGCGTCCGCATCAGGTCAGACTCCGTGTGCGGGCGCCATGCGTGCCCGGAGCAGAAGCGCTCAGCGCCGGGAGGGCCTCGTCACGGCCGCCGGCGCCTCGCCGCGCCCCCGCCCCCCGCTCGCGTCTGCAGCGAGTGGCGAGACTCGCTGATAAAGTTTCAAACGACGAGCCCAGCGAGCGATAAAGGCCAGCCCGGGCCGCCTCGCCCACAGCCCAATTCCCCAGGCGCGGCGAGCGCAGGCAGCCGAGAACTCTGCGCGCCTCCCGTGCGCCCCTGTCCGCTCTGTTCCTTGCCCGGCGCAGCCTAGGGAGGGGGCGCTGCGCCTGGTGGGGGGTGGTGGGGGCGCGGGGTTTTACGTGGGAGTGGATGAAATAATGGCAAGAGATGCGCGGGTATGAGGTGAGGCGAGGAAGGAGGAACACCTATGCTGGGCTTCGCGCTCCCGCGGACGCAGGCACTCTTAGGGAAGCTCCCGGCCGCAGAGCATCCGCGGGCTCCGGCCACAGGAACGCGCCTTCCGGATAGGTGAGGCTACCTTCCAGCAAACAGAAGTCCCCGAGAATGCAACGTGGGGAAACGAAGGGGAGGATAAGGAGATGACTGTGCACGGGATACAGGAATCCAGAGGTGTCTTTCAACCCATTGCTTTGCTTCTTTCCCTGAAGCCGGGAGGAAGAACAAACACTTGTAAATTTGGAGCTGCAGTGTCTGCGGGGAAAGGTTGGGGAGGGAGGGGCCAGGCCTCAAGGCAATGAGGACCTGTGGCCTGATTCCTGGGTGCTGGGCTTATATACAGAGCGCGCAGGGAAGGGAGCCGGGAAGGCCCATCACACTTGGGACCTCACCCAGCAGTCTCGGCTAGAGCGCCCGGGGAAGATGCAGTTTTTACGCACAACCAGCTCCTCCCTAGCGCTGCGGAGCGCAAAAGATCACGTAGGAAGCTCTCAAGGCAACCAGGCGTCTGCTGGGCGTCTGCGCCCAGCACTGGTGCACGTCCCGCTGCCCAGGCGCTCAGCTTGTGAGCCTTGCCGAGGTAAAGGGACCCTCGGTTCCTGGACCTGGGCCCCCGCAGAGACAAGAGAGAGGGGCTCGGGCCCGCGGGTGGAGCATCTTGAGCAGCAACTGGCTTGTAGCCCCGCCGTTTATCACCGGAAAGGAAGGAAGACCAGGAACTTGAGGCGGCCGTGAACTGTTCCATTGCTCTTTTCCTGGGGCGGAGGAACCCGCCGCCCGCCCGGGGATCGTGCTCTGGGGAGTAGGGAGTGTGCTGGGGGGTGGGGTAGGGGAGAGGGGGCGCATTGTTCGCTGGACGTGTGTGTGTGTGTGGGGGGGCGTCCAGATAGGAAGGACGGGCTCTCCTCCCCCGGTTGGACAAGGCGAAGCTCAGAGAGGCCAAAAACCTGAAAGATGCTGTCATCGCCACCCCCTTCCCCCACGCCGGTCCCTGGCAGGTCGGGCCCCTCCCAGGTTGACCCAGATACATCGCCGTTTGGGTCCGGAAAGGGAGGGGAGGGAAACAAGCACCGCGCCACCCACGACTCGGGAAGAGCAGGGCTCCGCGCCAGGCCGCTCCGTATCGCTGGGCCGCGACCCAGGGGAAGTTCTGCTCGGTCTGTGCCGGTCGCGAGGGAGGGGCAGGGAGGGCGCGCAGGGCGGCCTGCGGGGTGGGTGGGGTGGGGGGGCTGGGGGTGTTAGGAAGGGGGAAGGGATGGGGGCAATAGGCACCAAACAGCAACAAACATCTCTTGTACTATATGCTTATATTCATAAGCCTCCTTCTCGGATGCAGCAGAGAAAGAAGCTAAAATTACCACCACCCTCCTTTGTTTGGCGGTTTCTTGAAGTAAATCCAGATATTTGGGACTCGTAGAAGAGATGATTGGCCTTGGAGGAAGTATAAGTTGCCAAAATTTCACTTCTACCAGCGAATAAAGTGTATGTTGGGAAAGGTAGGCAGTTGTATGCCTCTCATATGGAGTGTGAAAACTGAGACTACCTAAAAAACTGCAGCTCAAAGTCCCACCCATCTCAGCACATCTTGGCCTTACAGCTAAGGGGTGTTAGAAGTACATGAAGTGTGACCATCAGCTTAGAGGCCCTTCCTCTCCGCCCAGGGAATTATTGAGTGGCCAGGAGACCTGCCCTTCAGTTGATGGTGAGGCCAATGGAATGACCTAAACCTGAAACAGACCTCCTGGAAAAGGAATGGACCATCCCCGAAGCTAATTAAATCCACCCCAAAGGACTTCATCCTGGGACAGGAGGAGTGCCGCATTATCTTGCAGAGAAGAAGTCCACTTTGGTGAAAGGCAAAAGGCTGAAAAAGTTCAAGAGAACCTAAATCCAGATGTGAAAAAAGGTCCACCCAAACACCCCTTCCTGACCTGTCTAGAGGCTGTCTGGACCAGATGACTTCTCTCTTCCAGATCTGAGATTCCATTTTCCTCCCTTTCTCCACCCCTATTCACTTACGACCCATTACTTAGCCCAATACAACTTCTCTTCCTGCCCAGAAGGTCTTTACTCCCTCCTCATCTGTATCTATTTTGATGGACCCTTCATTTGAAGATAGTGTATTCACTAGTAGAGGTGGCTGAGAAATGCTCAAGAAAATTTGGAGGAAAAAAAGGTTACAGTAAACCTCACTTCTTTTGCAATAAAAACTACCACCTTAAAGAAGAATTAATAAAGTAAATTGCATGTGATTTCAGCCTAACTATACAAGAAGATGAGGTAAGGAAAGGGTTCACAGTGCCTTTAGATCTATGAATTTAATATTTGATTTTTGACTTCCTTAATGAGAAATCTCAGAATTGACTGTAAAATCCATTTACAATATACAGGACCCAATTCTCTTTCTGAAGATTAATGTTAGTTTGCTTGTAACTTCAGTATAACATTGTAGCCAAATGAGTCAGTCTATTTTCTTAGTTAGATCCATTGTTTGTCTAATCTCCCAGGGCAGAGAAAGAGAGAGAACTAATTTACTACCAAATCATCTCCACCCTTTAAAAATGGAGAGTTACTTCTTTAACCAAATAGTCATTTGTCTTTCAGTCTGAACTGGCTGTAAAGGGAAAATTCTAATATCAGCCATTTAATTAAATCTCAGTGTGCATTTAAATCAATGTATACTAAAGACTTTTCCTTCTAGCCATGAGAGTAAGAGGTATCTGCTTTGCTCTCCTACAGGAAATATAAATATATATTATATATATAAAATTGGGCAAAACTATGAGACATATCTTTTCAGGCATTGGATAGTAGGCAACATACAGTTGTGATCCTTGAGAGAAGGGAAACACATAAGGTGAGCTCTATAACTGTCCCATAGTTGTCCTGGTTTTTCTGGGCTGTAAGAAGGTGGAGCCCAAGCAGAGCAGTAGTCTCAGTTAAGGAGGAAGAGACTGGCATTTGGGGCTGCTGACACAGCTGAAATTGGCAGGGTAGCATTTCTGAATATAGGTAGCTGTGAAAAGGGGGTTACCGCAAGTCTACATAAAGATGCACCACAAGTTCCTTGCCAAGGGCTGGGCTCAATATAAACATGACACACTCTGCATGGCCTAGCAGAGATTGCCTAGTGCATGTCATGCAGTGTTGAGAGACACTAGAGTTCCATCTCAGCAGGGTAGAGAGACCTTATTGAGCACTTTAGGCATCCAGCTGAGATGCTAGAAAGGCCATGTCTTAAAACTAATGGTCATGCCTTAGTGTAAAATGCATGTCTTAGGACAAAATTCAAGATCTTGTTTCCCCATATCACATGTTCTAACAAAGAATAAAAACAAACCAGACAGGACTAGTGGGATTTACAAGAACAAAACAAACACCCATTAAAAGAAGACAACATAATATCGACTCCCTACAATGTATCACTAACAATAAAAAATAAATAGACAAGTGAAAAACCCAAAAACGTGACCCATACTTGAGAGAGAGAGTGGTCAACAGAAACTTACCCTGATGTGGCCCAGATGTAGGAATTGGCAGGAAAGAAATTTTAAAGTAGCTATTATAAATATGTTCAAGAAAAATGATCCCAGATGGAATTACAGAATTGCAAGTATGAATGAGGAACATTGGGAAAGGTAAATTTGTGGAAAAACATAAAATAATATTGATAGTTAAGAGAATTATAATAATTCTGAAGTTCAATACATGTAGAAGAAAAATATATGACATCACTAGCATTAACATGAAAAGCAGCAGGGAACTCTGATTCCAGGTTAGATTGAGCAAGCAAACTCTATCCTGTCTCTCCCACTGAATAAAGCTACATAATTTGGACAGAATGTAAAGAGAAGGTATTTTAGGACTCTGAAAAGCAAATGGATTGGGGAAGACTGAAATTTTAAGTTCCACCAAATGGTGGTGAGTTTCCCGTTTTGTTTTTCCACTGGTATCACATAGCCAGGACACAAGGCAGCCAAAATCCTGAAGTGGGAACCTGGCATGGACAAAAACACTTACAGGAGAGGTATCCAGAGAAGCCCTCTAGTTTTGAGTCAAGGTGGAAAAGGGATTCCTGACATACCTAGAGCAAATGGGAGAAATTCCCTGGGTCTCTCTCCCTCCCCCAAATCTCTCACATCCAAGGCCCCCTGGGCAGTCCTATGTTGATATTGCCAGCAGTGACATTGGCAGCAGTGGGAGACCAACAGGTTCCTAAAACTCTGAAAGATGGGAAAATTCCTCTTTAGAGGAACTGTGGTCTCAAGAAGGTGGGACGAAATTCCATATATTTTTTTCTTCCTCTTTCCTTTTGCCATGTGGTGCCACACATGGGTGCAATCACAGGAAGTGTGTGGCAGAGTGAGATAACTAAAGCCATGGTTCTGGCCAGTGGACCAAAAAGAAGAGTCCTTGAGAATTGGAAAGTACCTGGGAAGTCAGCAAGAATGAGGAGCTTGAGAAAGCAATCCTATAAAGTTATATGTGAACTCCTATGCTTACCCCCTAAGCTGTGTACATGGGGAACATGTGGATCTGTCCCTAAAGATAATACCAAAGACTTTGAGACTAGAACTATGGGACAGACCACCACCCAGGTCCCAAACTACTGGGTTTTACACATGTGAGACAGGCATGAATAGCATGCAAAGGCATTGAAAACTGAACTAATATCAGAACAAGAACCTATAGAAGGCTGGATAGAATTAGTGGCTCAAACCCAACTGTGTTGATCATATGCTAAAACAAGAATATCAACATTCTCAATATATAGGATTTAAATAAGGCTCAGAGCCTCTTAACATTCTATTCCAAATGTCCAGGATACAATC